ACTTTCATTTCAGGGTTGCTGGGCTGAAATGAAATCCATGTCCAGAGCTATGGGCTGCTTTTTTGGTTCTTGACCTTGTGACTTTCTTCTGGCTCCAGCTGCTCTTTTGCTGAAGCAGGCCTGCAAATCATAAACCAGACTCAGCCTCCAAAATCCTCCTCTGGAGGTGAGCTAGCTCAAAGGGAGTTTCTTCTGATGTTCTAAAGATCACCTCATCAGGTTGGGCAGCCTGGCCACACTATCACTGAGTTCAGGTCCTGAAATAGTGGTTTAGAAAACACTGAGCATTTAGGAAACTGGTGCACAGCAGCTCCAAGCATGACTCAGAGAAACAAGGACTAGGAAACTTTATGTAATGTATAGTTACTCCAAAATTGAATTAAACGCCTATATTTTATTATCAAAGCTATAAAGAGTAGGTTTAGAAAAATGTGATCCACCAGTGTTTACCCGAAAATGTTTTTCTCTTTGAGACTCAGTCATGTGGATTATATTTTGTGAAACCATATGGATTCGTCTGTTTTCCATTGCTGTAACAAAGTATCTGAGCCTAGAGACTTTATAAGAAAAAAAGGTTTCTGCCTTAGCTTTGGAGGTTCAAGGGCATGGTGCTGGGATTGACTTGGCTCTGGTGAGGACCTTATGGCGGATAACATAATGGTGAGAATGTGTGCAAGAGGGAGAGATCCTCTGGCAAGATAGGTAGCCAGAGAGTGGAGAAGGTACAGGTTCATTCTTTTGTCACAACTCACTTAAATTGAGTTCCATAAGACTATGTTGACCTGAGGGCAGTGCTCCCTACTAGGTTCGACCTCTTAAAAGTCTGCTTCTAATATTATCATACTGAGGACCACGCCTGTGACACATGAACTCTTGGGGGATATACTTTAGGTATAGCCAAACCGCAGCATCAAAGAAAGAATTTTTTCCCTCTGTTGTTTTTATATACACAAATGGGACTTTTGGGTTCCATTTTTTTTTTCTTTTGATATTGGGAATTGAACCCAGGGGCACTTAACCACTGAGCCACATCCCCAGCCCTTTTTATATTTTATTTTGAGATAGGATCTCACTAAGTGGTTTAGGGCCTTGATCAATTGCTGAAGCTGGTTGCATTTCTTATGCATATTTTGTTTTAATTATTTTTTTTAAAACGTTGTGTTATCATGTTAATACCAGATAGCCTAATGTTAAAGACTAAGAGTTTGGGTCTTAGGCTATTATTATTTGTGAATTAGGCATATCAATGTTTCAAGTAAGGTAATGGATATTGAAAGTGCTTTGTAAATTGTCCAGCAGTAATAAATTAGTAAATAGTAATTTTTATTGTTGTTGTTGTTATCTTGGCCTCTGAAAACTGAGCCTTCTATGGCTGCCTCCCCTGCCAACCCAGTTCTTCAGGTTGTGTCTGGAGTGCTGACCTCTCCTGCACAAGCCCCCTTATATAATAACTGCTGGAGTGCTCTTCAGGCAGGGCTTTCTGTGTATTCCCTGGCGTGGAGGCCCACACATCTTCCCAGGGTCCGGGGACTATTATGAGATGGTCATTGGCATCAGCATGGCTAGTCTCAAAGACCCTAAAGGGAATGTCCACCGTGTTGTTTGAAAGTACCACCAGTGACCTTGCCCTCTTCTGTCCCTGGACTCATGACACACAGGAAGCATGGGGTTTATGGATGCTGTGGACAGACACATAGACATGGGTAGCCTGCACTACTGTGGACACTACAAGACTAAAAAGATGGTGAAAACATTGGTCATACTTTGTCTGTGAATGTGCTTTTTCTCTTCAGGTTATAGTGGGACCAGTAAATCCCCAAGAAGAAAATATTCTGTGTCTTATCTGGGGAAGGAGGGTATTATTTAAATCATACTTAAATATATATTTAGTTAAGTTATAATTTTTGATGATTAAAATGGAGGAAATGATAAACCAATGAGGAAAGATAGTATTTTTTTTTTAAATTAGAGAACTATTTTTATAAGGTTGTTTGCTGGAAGAATATGTGATGGCCTTGTGGTTTGGGTTTTTTTCATTTTTAATGTTTCCTTGGAGGCTTCCAGACATAACATACACCAAAGAAGAGGAGAAATTCTTCCCAAGAACATTCCTTGGTCTGCTCTTGATTTTAAAATAGTTCTAAGAGTAATAGAAAAAAGATTTGTCAAAAATAATGGAATGCTCTGGCCATAGGGCAAGTTCCAAGCTAAAAAGTCGGGCATGTCACTCAGGGAACGGGGCTGAATGGGTGGTTAGAGCAAGTGGTCAGGGTGGCCCACGGGCCTGCCGTGGGAGGCTCCCACACTTCCTGCTGATGGAGGAGAGACAAAGGCAGAGACCAGCTGCCCTGGGCAGGAGAGCTGGGATGGCTGCTTTCCCCTCAGCAGTGACCAGCTGCCCAGTGTTTCTGACCTTCTCTGGCAGCAGCAGAGCTTGCGTCACTCTTTGAGGGCCTGGTTCTCTGTTGCCAGAACAGGACTGGAGTCCTAGGGAAGCACCTGTGGCTTCATGGCTGCGACTGACTCAGCATTCAGCTTGGAGACTAGGCCTTTTTTTTTTTTTTTTTTCAGTACTGGGATTTGAACCCAGTGGCACTTTACCACATCCACAGCCTTTTTAAAGTTTGTAACAATAAGCTGATGAGGCTGACCTTGAACTTGTGGTTCTCCTACCTCAGCCTCTCTCCTGAGTAGGTGGGATTGCAGGTGTGAGTCATGGCGCCTGGCAGGACTGAGGACTTAAAGTGCCCCAGGAGGCTCCCCAGGCTGCCCCACAGATTGTCAGAGAAGAGAGAGAGCAGGAGGGAGAGAAGGAGGGGAGAGAGAGAGAGAGAGAGAGAGAGAGGTGGGGAGAGATAAGAAGTAACTGGGAGGAAAATTGCATGGGAAACACAGACCTTGATTTTCTTTTTAAAATCCAGTGTGAGCTAATTACACAATGGGTGGGTGGGAAGCGAGTGAATAAACATAATTTGTATAATTATTGGCACCTGCACACATTCTTAAAGCTGGGAGGCTGCCTAGCAGGCTGGAAAGCTTGCAGCATTATTACTTAGGAACTAGGGGTGATTTATGTACACGCCTCTCCATTTGCGTCAATAACTTATACCGCCACCGATCCATCTGGTGTTTATTTGCTTTTTGTTCTACTGGCCACATGTCCCTTTGTCACCTTCTGAAGAAGCAGCTGAAGTGAGAAGGAGGTGATATGGGGCAGGAGCTGGGGACCGCTGTCCTGGAGAGCCCCCATGAACCTTCAGGACCAGGGGGAAAGAGGGGGGGTACAGGCACCAGGTCCTGTGGCATTGTTGGTCACTTACCTGATACCTGCTGAGCTCTGGCCCTGGGGCAGGTATCCAGCAAGTCCTGGGCAATAAAACAGGCCAAGTCCCTGCTTACCTTCCAGGGGGAGACAGACACTACAGAATAAAGAGATGCAGATACAATACACAGTGAGAAAAAAGTGGGGGGTAGACAGACAAAAGTGGTGGGGTGGGGTGGGTGGTTGTAAGTTGGGTCAGGAAGCCCTCTCTGAGGAGTGCATCTGAAGGAATCCTGAGTGCTCTGGGGGTGTCTGGGGAGACTTTCCAGACACAGCAGTGCTGCAAAGCCTGCAAGACAAGCTGGCCGGCCTAGGCACTGCCCAGGGCTGCTCTGCTAGAGGCTGGGTCAGGAGCTGCATTTGGAATGGGAAGCCGGGCTACATCTTTTAGGGCCTTTTTCTTATTTCTGTAGTGAACATTTACTCTAAAAGTTGAATTTGATTAAACTTGTATTTTTTTTTTAAACAGACAAGTATCATTTTTTTTTTTTTTGTAGTTGTAAATGGACAGAATGCCTTTGTTTATTTTTATGTGGTGCTGAGGATCCAACCCGGTGCCTCACACATGCTAGGCAAGCACTGTACCACTGAGCCACAACCCCAACCTCTTAAACCTGTATTTTGTTATTAAAATAAGTAATTGGTTTAAAGTCAGATGAGATTACATTGAATCATGTCATGATAGAGTCTGGTTCATATATTTAAAATATCCTACTGGCCTCTGGTTGAAACAAAGCCTGTCCTGCAGCTGAGATTGGCCTCAGAGGGACAAGTTAGGCAGCTGGTCAGTCAAGTCATGGTGTGGCTTGGACCCTCAAGAGAGCTGGGGGCGGTGAGGAGGGTCAGATTCAGGATAGATTCTGCAGGAATCTATCCTGCAGAACTCACTGGAGTCTCCTGTTTACCTTCTTTCCTTGAAACCTGGCAGCACAGGTCTCCTCCCACTGGAAAAAGGAGCAGGGGTGGGGAGGGTGGGGTATGTGTGTGTGTCGGGGGGGGGGGGGCGAGGGGGGCGCTCACAGCAGTGCCTGTCTCATCCTGTTCTGGGGCACCCAGAGGGACAGGAGGAAGGCATGGGAGGCAAGGCCTGGCTTGCCTAGTCCCTGGGCTCAAACTCTTCACAGTTTGCAAAGAATGTGCTCATTGCATGGTCGCCCCCATCCCTGTGAACTAGACAGGACAAATACTGTTATGGTGTGATAGGTGAGGCTGGAGCCGGTGGAGACAGGGAAAGCCCTGTGAGGTTCGCAGGAGTGAAGAACAGTGATTTCTGCTTATATGAGAGGAATGTATGTGGTCCCTACTCAGGGGACTCAGCTGAGATTTTAGTGGTCAGATTGTGGTCAACATATTCCCTCTTCCATGTTTTCTCTTGACATAATGTTTATGTAATTTAAAAAGAAGTAAAGCATTCCCCTTCCATTGGATTAAGCCAAAATGTAATTGAATTACTAAAACCACTAGGAAAAATAGCCTCTTGCTGCATTGAAGCCGTAGGCAGCTTTGACTGCGAGGACACCCCATGGTATTGGCAGAAGGTCTACAGCTAGGCTGGGAGATGGGATAATTTCTACCCATCCATTGAATCAGGGGTGTCTTGTTTGGGGGCAGGGAGTGTCTGGTGAAGTCGTTGCTCGCTTCTGATATGTCCTAATAAATTTCCAAACATTCTTTACAGCTTAGACCATCCTCAGCCTTCAGGCGGCCTTGCCATCAGCAAAGAATCTGAAGTTTACAAGATGCTTCAGGAGAAACAGGAGTTAAATGAGCCCCCGAAACAGTCCACGTCATTCCTGGTTTTGCAGGAAATCCTAGAATCAGAGGAAAAAGGTAATCAGCTCTACCTACGGTCAGAGGCTCTTGTTCAAGGCCTGGTGTGAGGGTTGGTCATTGATAACACAGGTGAGTGCAGCTGGAGTAGGTAGAAAGAGCACAGGTGCTTGGAGGCTTGAGCTAGTATCCTCCTTAGCCTCTCAGGTAGCTGGAATTGTAGGCTCGTGCTCCCGCATGGACTTGGTGTGGACCACATTGCTTGGCATGGACTTTATTTTTTTGCAGTGCCCAGGGCCTCATGCATACCTGGCAAGTACTGTACCACTGAACTCCATCTCCAGCTCTGACTTTTAAAATGCTAAAAGCTCATTAAGAGGGAGAGAAAGGGGAGGTAGGGAGAGGGGCCCATTTTCCCTTTGGGGCCATGGGTTTGTTTTTGTTTTAGGGTGAATGACTTCTTGAAGGCCTGAGACCCTCATATGGCCACATTCTCACCCTGTGACCTCAGGCTAGTCTCTGAACTGTTCTAGGCTCAGGTCTCATAAGCTGTGCAAAACACCTCTCACTATGACCAGCACAGAGCAGATGCTGAGTGATTATGATGATGTTTGAGACTGCATTAGGAGGCTGCCAGTCAGCTTTAGCTTGTCCATGGTGAGATCTGGTGCCTGAGGCGCCCAAGGGCCACCTGGGGTGGTTCTGCAGGTCTCAAGAGACAGTTCTCACTGTATACATCTCCTGTGTATTTATTATAGTGATGTTCAAGCAGAGAGCATTATTATTCATTTAATAACCAGCATATTGTGAGAAATTGGTGAAAGTGGATGTGCAAGGAAGGGATTCCTTTTGCCCCCCGCTGTGGTGTGGGGACACACATACCCAGGGCCTGGCATGTGGCAGGCCAGTGCTGTACCACTGAGTTACACCCCAGCCTTTCTTAAAAATTTGAGACAGGATCTTGCTAAGTTGCCCAGACTGGCCTTGAACTTGGAATCCACCTGCCTTTGCCTCCCAAATAGCTGTGATTGCAGGCATGCACCCCTGTATCCAGCAGGGGATCTTTTTCCCCTTCCCATTCATGTGGCCTGTACGTTGGCAGCCCCAGTCTCCCCTGCTCCCAGGTAGCACCTCTTGGATTCTCATATTTAGTCTTTACTGGTGTTTTAGTCAGCTTTTTTGCTTCTGTGATCAAAAGACCTGGCAAGAATAATTTTAGAGGAGGAATTTGGGCCTCACAGTTTCAGAGGTCTCCATCCATGGACAGCTGACTCCGTTGCTCTGTGCCCGAGGGGAGGCAGAATGTCATGGGGCAAGAGTTTGGTGGAAGAAAGCAGCTTAGGCCATGGTATCAGGAAGTGGAGAGAGAGAGCTTCCCTCACCTCAGAGGAAATATAAACCCTAAGGGCATATACCCAGGGACCTACCTCCTCCAGCCACACCCTACCTGCTTATAGGTCAGCCCAATTAATCCCTATCAGGGGATTAATGCACTGATTAGGCTAAGGCTCCCAAAACCCGATCATTTCAGGTCTGAAATGATCCTACATTGTCTCAAGCATGAGCTTTTGGGGGACAGCTCAGATCCAAACCACAACACCTAGTCCTTATGATGCCTGGCCTTCTATAACCTCTGTCCCTGTCCCTGGCTCAACCATCTCACTGGCTTAGACCACATTGCTTGGCATGCACTTTATTTATTTGTTTTGCAGTGCCCAGGGCCTCATTCATACCTGGCAAGTACTGTACCACTGAACTCCATCTCCAGCTCTGACTTTTAAAATGTTAAAAGCTCTTGTCCTCTTCTCAGACTATCCACATGTGAACAGAGTTGGTACTCCTGGAAGGGGTGCTTGGGGAATCTCCTGGGGGAACCTGCTTCTGCTAGGCTGCAAAGGACTGACTTGTCTGTGCAGGGCCTCCAGGGAGGGTCAGAGCTGAGTGCCCTGAGTAAGGGGAACCTCCCCTCAACCCCTTCTGTTAGAGTTTCAGTTTCCTCTGGGGAGGCCCTTTGTGCTGAAGCTTCCTGGCTGAGACACACCCAGCACCTAGACTTCTTCCCCCGTGGTGTGAGTTCTTTAGAGAGTGGTAATGTATACCCACAGAAAATTAGGAAAATGTTTCTTTTATGCTAAAAGATATTGTTCTACCAGCAGTCTCCTTATTTGCTTGGAGAACTTGTGCAGCTGGGAAGAAATGAGCCAGACTTTATATTAGTTCCAGTATTAGGCCTGACTGACGAAAGACTTGGACTTGGGCTCCAACCCTTGAGGATGACAGGTTTGTCAAAACATGAGAAACACGGTTTATTTTACTCTAGGTGGATGTGAATCAAGAGGGGTGAAGTCAGTCAGCCCAGCCCAAACTAGGACATAATCAGAGGAAGCAGAGTTCACCTGGGCTCATAGAGAAGGACCTGAGCAGGAAGTTGTCAGCTCCATGCTCATTAGGGTCTGGGCTCCTTCCATCCTGTGCTCCATCAACCAAACCCTTGGTTTCCATAGTTTCCTGGCTACTTCACGGTCCTAATTGGCAGCAGGTATTCCATCCATCATGCTCATTTCCAGGCATCAGGGAGGAAGGAAGGGGATAGGGGTGATTGGGTAATCCTCCTTCAGATGAGCCAGCTTTCTCTTTCCCACAAGTCCCACTACTGTTTCATTTACATTATATTGATCAAGATCTAGTCACATGGCCACACCTAGTTGCACAAGAGTCTGAGAATTACATTTGTATCCCTTAGGCTATATGCCTTCTTGCCCCAAAGAAAATCAAGATCTAGCTAAAAAGGAAGAAGGAAATAACAGATCTTGTAGATTTTCCTGTCTCTGAATGTGTACTTTAGTTTTTCACTGAATGCAACAGGATAAATTCCAGTCCAAACATCTGCCACATGCAGAAGGCCCTCGGGGAGGGAAATCAAATACCTATTTTTACTTGGAATGAAATGGTCAAAGCCCAGGGAAGTGGCCGGTACATGGCTAAAGCACCTGATGAGGCTTACTGTCATTTGGAAAGGTCTCTGGTTCAGAGAGCAGTGCTGTGGGGCAGAAAGCACTGGCATTGGGATCTGCCTGAGCTGCTATGAGGCCTCCAGCAAGTTGCTGGTCTCTCTAAGCCCTAGTTTCTTCTTCCAGTAAGGCTAATAACAAGGACCTCAAGGGGTTGTTAAAAGGTGAGGGTAAAATGGGTCTTGTAAAGTGCCCCATGCACAGTCAGCAAGGTGCTCAAGGAGGTTTAGTGATGAACCTTGGGAGACTCATTTTGGATGAAATTCACCCTCTGCACCAGGAGAATAGGGCCTTGGGTTCCTCACACTTCATCTTGCTCTGGAGAAATGCAGAAATCTGCAGGCCAAAGGAGCCTTTATGGTTTTTCATTTTGATGGATTACATATAACGTAAAGTTTACCATCATAATTCTGTTCAGTTCAGTGGCTTTAAGTGCATTCATGTCATGCTATTGTCACCACCGTCCATCCACAGAACTCTTCATCTTGCACAACTGGAACTTGGTACTCATTAAACAATAACTCTCCATTCCCTGCTTCCCCAGCCCCTGACTTCCTCCCTCACTGTCTCTGAATCTAACAGTTCCAAATACCCCTCATGAATGGGATCACAGAGTTTGGCTTATTGTGGCTGGCCCATTTCACTTGGTCTTAACGTCCTCAGAGTTTATCCGTGTTGTAGCATGTGTCAGAAATTCCTTCCTTTTTAAGGCAAAATTCTATTCCATTGTATAGGTCTGTACCACCTTTGGTCATCTGTCTATGGGAGGGAGACTTAACATGCTGAGATGTCATGGGCTGATAGCACAGTGGTGGCCAGAGCCTCCTTAGAGGAGTAAGCTGGCCACATGCTTCTGCAGGCTCATTTTGACTGGTACCCGGGATTCCAGGATGATCTTCAGATGTCTGGAGTCTTACAGAGGGACCACCAGTGCTAGGTTAAGGATCATGAGCTTGATTCTGTAGGCAGTGTGGAGCCATGGAAGATTGTTATGCTGTGAAGTGGATAGAAAAACAAGTGTTTTATTTAGATCATTTTCAGTTTTCCCTACAAGTGTTTGAGATGAAGTCATCACTGAAAGAAGAGAAATTTGGAAATGTTTGTGGTTGCCTGGAGTCCAGTAGCAAACTAGTTGAGAATAAGGAAGAAGAGAGATTTCTTTGAATTTCAGTGTTGGCTGTATAAGTGAGAGAAAAAAAACCCGGAGCCAGCAGGTGGCGCTGCAGGACTGGACAAGTTGCTGTGCTGCTCCATCCTTCACGTGGACTCTCCCCCGCCCCAGGGTGAGAGTAGCTTTCCAGCTCCAGTTAGGAAAACCAAAACTGTTACCTAGGGGACAAAATCACTCCCAGCAGAGAACTAGTGACTAGAGGGAAGCATGGAATGGAGGGGCAGGATAACTGTGGGCAAAATATGCAGCTGATCACACCAGCCAGAGGCATTCTGAACACCCTTTTTTTGAACATATCTCAATTCTTGGTTCAAAAGCACTGGTCAGCATATGGGGACTCATTTTCTGAGTAGGTAGAGAGAAGAGGCAGCATCCTCATCTCTTCAGCCCTAGGACTGCCTAGCATGGTTGTGGTTATGGGAAGATCCTCTCCCACCTCCTTCCCCCAGACAGCCATCCCTCTGCCCTTGTCCAGTGGCTCTTGGGTCTGGGTCCAGTGGTTCCTGAACTGGCAGCAGCATCTATGAACTTATTGGAAATATAAATTCTCAGGCCCCATTCTAGGCCTACAGAATCTGGTGGTAGGGACCCAGCAATCTATGGCTCAGAAAACACACCAGGTGAATCTGATATGCAGTAAAGTTTGAAGACAGTTGCTTTTGCCCAAAATAGCAGGTATATAGTAGTATTTTCTGCACCTGGAGATGGGATCTCTGCACCTGTGGATGCTAATTGAACTTGTTTGGGGTAGGATGCATCTATGAATTTTCTGGAGCTTCTCTTGGGGCCTGGGATGCTCATAGGTGCCTGTTCAGAACCACCACTGGTGTGGAGGCATCTCTAGCTTCTTTAGTCAAAGCATGCAGGGCCAAGACTATATCGTTCTGCATCTGTCATGGCATTTCACAATTCATTTCCATGTTATTTGTGGATAGTCTATTATTTGCTAAGCCCCATGCTAGGCTCTGTGGGGAACTAAAAAATATACAAAACAAGGTTCTGGTATTCAAGTTGTTTGCAGTCTAGAAAAAAAGCCATGTGTAAATAGCTGACGAATATAATGGTACTGCCAGAACACATCGTAGTTAAAAAAAAAAAAAAAGTGATGGGAAAGCCCAGCCAGCTGAGTATATAGCAACAGTAGTGGTAGTAACAGCTTATTACTCTGCAAAGCTACCATGATAGAGGGCTCTGTTCCCTGAGATATGATGAGATGAGCTGTAGGCATTTGAGCATCTAGCAACTGGGTGCTTATTTCTTATGCACTAAGCTGACTGCAGAAGATGTAGTAGATGATTTTCCTCTGGCTGCTTGTAGCATGCTGTACTGGAATGATTTGGGGGCAGGGGAGGGAGGAGGTATTTCTTTCTGCAACTAGAAGGGTGTTTTGTTTTTGTTTTTGCAGTGCTAGGAATCAGACTAAGCGCTTTTGCACAGTGCTAGGCAAGCATTCTACCACTGAGCTACATAAGCCCTCTTTCCACATCTAAATACACTGTATTTTGGTTACCAGATATTGCTTTTATTGACTTATTTATTATATCCATATAAGGTGTTTGTAAGTTCCTGTATCAGTGTTTGCATGTATTTAATTCACAATGTGTGCCCAGGTGCCTACCATTGTAGAAGTGCTTCATGTATTTTTAAAAGTCTCTTCGTATGGCAGTGAAGGAGAAAATGAAAATTTTATAGAAAAGGAAAATAGGAGATCTGAGAAGTTAAGTAACTTTCCAGGGACCACATAGCAGAGTCACATCTGACCCCAGTGCCCATGATCTTACTTGAACATATCTAGAAGCGGCTCTGAGAGAGCCGAGTGAGACGTAGGCAGTTCTGTACTTCCCAGCCAATGTAAGTGCTTTTGTCATTTCAGGGGATCCCAACAAACCCTCAGGATTCAGAAGTGTTAAAGCTCCAGTCACCAAAGTGGCCGCCTCGATTGGAAATGCTCAGAAGTTGCCTATGTGTGACAAATGTGGCACCGGTATTGTGTAAGTATCTACCCCCTGCAGTCCACAGAGGCCTTGCAAGTTGGGTAAACAATAAAAATGGGGAAAGTACAGGATATGCAACACCTGTTTTGGGTGTAAATGAGACAAATCCTACCTGGGCAAAATGGAGCAGGGAGGCTGCGTAGGTTTGTGTTCCAGGTCCAGGTGGCCCCGGTTGTCCTGTGCTGTGGGGCTCTTAGGTTCTGAATGTGTAAAAGCCAGAAAAGCAGGGCTGCCCTCTGTTGAGGTGGACTGGACTTCCAGATTAATGTCTGGCCCCGGGGAATCAGAAGCCCTTTTACATTTGCTGCTGGAGGCCAGTTGGGAGATCGTGGTCTGCCCTCTGATGGGAGGGCATCAGTGGAGAAGCCCCAAGCCCAGCTCGGGAAGGATGGCAGAGAGCCCTGGTGTCACCTGCAGGTGCTTGTAACTAATGGAGCCCTCTCCTCCCTCCCTCCCTCCCTCCACAGCGGAGTGTTTGTGAAGCTGCGGGACCACCACCGCCACCCTGAGTGCTACGTGTGCACCGACTGTGGCACGAACCTGAAGCAGAAGGGCCATTTCTTCGTAGAGGATCAAATCTATTGTGAAAAGCACGCCCGGGAGCGCGTCATACCCCCCGAGGGATACGACGTGGTCACCGTGTTCCCCAAGTGACGCAGCAGACGTGCGCCCACAGCTGACCTCCAGCTGGCCTCGCCACACCTTGTCCTCTGAGTGTTCTGGACCCCCTCCTGCTCAGAGCTCTGTGCGTACTTGACCCGGTTCTGCCCCTGCTCCTTCAGCGCTGAGTTCCGCTCCGTGGCTGGCTGACTCACTCTGGCTGTGGGGCGCCTGCTATGGAAAAGTGTTTTGTCATTGTCCCCTCGCCGGCATCACTGTGCATCTCCCTCACCTCCGCTCTTCTCCGCTGCAGACGGACATCAGTCAAGTTTGAACCAATCCAAATTTAACATGTTTGACATTAATTTTGTTTTTACTCAATAAATAAATTTGTAGACTGTAAAACAAAAGTGTGCCATCTCTGATCCTTCAGTCGTGTATCTTGTTCACTGCCTGATGAGATTTCTAAGGCCTCTCCTCTTGTTCTGGGTTTCCTGCTTCTCAGATTTAGCAGTCTCTCCCCCAGGTGTGAGGAACGTGGCATCTGAAGCTATGCACTTGTTATGTCTTCGAAGCTTGCTTCAACTTATGTTTTTTTGTTGGTCATATAAGATACTTAGTCTGTTTTAATGAAATAATGTTTTCTTTATGTCTGGCTGTTCTAGGGCTTATCTGAGGAAAGAAATGATTCCCAAATAATGGATGGGGAGTTTTACCAGTTGTCCTTAAAATATTCCTCAATAAATCCATGTCCAGGCTGGTTGTTGTCATCACAACCACTGTCCTTTGTGAAGGGAAGCAACCTCGGGAACATGGGCAGCAGCCGCATCAAGAGCTCAGGGAAATGGCCAGTATGTCCCCATCCCAAGAGAGATTGAGAACTCTGGCTGTTCAGAGGCCTTGAGTCAAGATCTGAGGTCACCGTAGGTTATCTCCCAGTGACTAATCCCCAATGAAGTTGTTGGCTCAAACAGTGGTGCCCTCATCCCTCCTGAAGCCAAGATGAAATGTTTGCTGAGAGAAGTGGGCAGGGCACTCCAGTCAACCCACCTCCCTCCAAAGAGCAACTCGGTTGGCTCTTAAGCAATATTGATAGTTCATGCCCTTCATTGACGTAAAGGGTTATGGTTGGTAACCTTTACTGATGATGGGTCTTAAATACCTGAGCCAATCAACTCATAAAGAGGAAGGTTTATTTTTGTTCACAGTTTTAGAGGTTTCATTCCACTGTCACCTAGGCCTGTTGCTTACCTGTGGCATGGCAGCACGTCATGGTGGGGAGCATATGGCATAACTGTTCATGTCAGGGCAGGGAAGCAAAAAGAAGTCCAGGATCCTACTGTCCCCTTGAAGAGCGTGTTCCCTCAGGGATGTAAGACCTCCTGGTAGGCCCCACCTCTTCCACCACCTATTGGCACTGTGGGTAAGGACCAGATCTTTAACACACGAGCCCAAAGACTACATTTAAGACCCAAAGATACATTTCAGATCCAAACTATACCAGGAACTAATTAGATTAATACTAATAATGATTTTGGTTAGCAATGCTAGGATTTGAGACCACAGTCTGAGTCAAGAATGCACAACAGTTCTAGCACCACAAAATCCCAAGGTAAAAAAAGTCACTTGATGTTTAAGCTCCCATTCTTACTCTCCATCTTTTGCCGTTAACAAGTCCTCACTTGAAACCACATCAGTTTCTAAGCTTGTAAAAGGCAAGGTGGCTTAAGCTTTGCGATCAGATCAGGCCACAACCATGTTGACCTTATGGACTTGGGGTTCACAATTTGGACCACCTAATCTCATTTCCTCTGATCAAGACTCCCATTCCACTGGACCAATTGTGCAGAAACTAGCAGATGCATTGGACATATTATGAGACGTCCATCTCCCTTGTGACCCAATAGCCTCAGGTTATATTGAATGCTTCAGTGGACTTTTAAAAATGAAATTGTCCTCTTACACTGATTTGACATTATATTGCACCCTACTAATAGCAATTTATGAACTTAATTCTTGACTGAGATTACATAGACAATCTCCCTTTGATACCATTCCTTGCCCCCTGACCCCCAACTTATACCACCACCTCTCAAAGATTCTATAGAACTTCCTTAAATGACTGATAAATGTATGGGTCATTCTAGGACAGACAACACTGCTTTACAAGTGCAAGACATTGTTGCTCCAGGACCTGGGAATTCTGTCTGGATGACTGCCCAGAAAGAGGATCTCAAAGACCTTTCCCCTCTATGACAGCTGACCTTGGGATAAACCTCAATACCTACATCACTGGTATCAAGGTGATCTTTTATTTAATGCCTCACCCTATATACATTAAGTAACAGCTAAAGGTATGAATCTTTGTTATATCTATAGACTTCTGATTATCTTTGTTTCCTCCTTGGTGATTGTTTATGGTGCCATCTTGCTGACAGGCCACTACACGTTTTGTGAATGCAGAAACACCAACTTTAGTTGGGAAACTCATCTTTTTGCCAACTACACATTTTGCCTGCTGGAAACTTTGATGCTAAATTAACCCCGTGAGCAGGGTCCCCCTTCATTTATGGTCACAATTTCTGGACTTAGTGGTCATCCTTTCCAAATTTAATCCCCCAGAATGCCTATTTCTGGTGAGAATCCTCCTTGAGACCATTGACGACTTTGCATAATTCATTTGACATTATTGCAGCATGCATCATATGGCCATGTTCTGCTTTCCTTGTGGCTTAGACTTGGGACTGTGCTATGGGTGATGATGATTACAGGTGACCCAACACCCACTGCAATCAAATCTTATGACCAGAAGGAAGTGATGCTCAGTTTGATGACTTCAAGTTACCATCTGATACTCCCAAGCATCCAGAATACGTAAACTTATGAAAGGTACCTAAATATTGGGACCATCTCCCCTGACTTCAGAATAACACACTTAATACTGGACACTTTTGGGCAAAATATTCATATCACAGGGCATTGGACAAGAGCATCTATTCTTCCTTTTGAGAACCCTTCTATCAAGCCACCAAACAATCATCACCCCTCCTCTGATGGGAAGCTACTGCAGTAGATAACACCAATCTATGATGAGAACTCACTGCATTGCCATGTCATGGAAATAGTCAGGCAAGTACGATCCTGCTATTTTCCCTATGTTTTTCAGGAAATTGGCACCTGCATATCAAATTGTCAAGGTATCTCATGTAGGAAATAATGTTTCCATAACAAGAATACAGGAATCTGAGGATAATGAACAAACATTTACATATAATCATGCTGTGAATTTTAAATTTACCGCTGCATTTTTTGACTATTTACTAAGACCATGCTTACTGACCCTTATGATAACTTCTTTGAGTATGAAGATGATTATGAGACAGAAGTCATAGTCAACACTTCTTCCACTCCCACCGCCCCATTAACTGACCACCCTGGCTTTGATTGGACCAAGAACTCAGACCACATATATCGATTCAGAAAAAAACATACCTGCCTTACCCAAGCCCTTGGGTGGGAGTGACCAGATACACTTTTTGAGTCACACCCTGAACTCTGGAGTCACTTGGTGCTTTGTGTGGGAGATTTCCCTAATCAGCCTCACTATGGTATATTTAATACACAGAGAAATAACTCAACCGACATTCTAGTTTGTAATGTATCTTTTCCATCTGTGGATGTTTGACAAAGATATCAGCCTTGGGAACTCAATCTTACAGATTTCCTTTGCCTATCACAGAGCTGGTACCACAACCATCTCTGATAATTCAAAGACAACAGAAGGATTTAAATAAATGGTCTGCTAACAATACAGGTTTCTCTGCAAGAGAAGCTATCATCAAGAGAAGCTGTTCATTAACAATTCCACCAGACATAACGTCTTTCATATTAATTCAGCTTACGTTGGTCTGCTGTGTGCAGATATGCCCACTGACGCAACATATAGATACAGTGATTTTAATCAGAGGAATGTGATGTAAACTATGAAAGCAGCAAACAATGACATTATGTTTAACTTCCTTGGTAAATATTTGCCTAGGTAATTCTTTCTACTGGCACACTTATGCTAATGTCTCTGAGTCTGGAGAAATGCATACCAAGTTCTTTGACATCACATTTGACCCATCAAAAAAGATGTCCTATAACAAAGGCAGGTGTGACTGGACTTCTCATTAACTATTACAGGGAAACCTCTCTCGGAATTCTCTCTACCTTTTGGATAGGTGACTCTTTTTTACGCCACCCTGGCAGACAGAACTATTTCCCTCTTTGGGAATAGGGTGGAACTGATGCTTCTTTAATGGTAATGCCTAACATATTCGATTCTGGATTGACTAATGTAGAGTATGGTTTCATGGATCATATGTTAGTTATTGACCCTGCTGATGTTTCTGTCTTGATGGTACAAAATATCACTATGGCTGGAGCTTGTTTATTTATCTTTCCTATTTTCAGTATATGTCATATATTGGGTAGTTACACTTCATCAACTGTGCATAATTACCCAACACCATACGATGTTGTACCTCAGGTTCTGAACCACACCTATGTCATAGAAGGTGGCCAAAAGAGCATTTTACAACTTACCACTACCATTTTTTTATTATGAACCCCCGCCCAATTCATGAGGAAAATCTGAGATACTGGGCTTATGTTACTTCTGACCTCACTGAAGTCAGATACAGGCTTAAAGAAGCTGATGATAGATCATTAACTTGGTGGCACTTCACTGGTCTGCTTTTTTCAACAACTCTGCATAGCACTGCATATAGACACGGGACACTGCCTTATTACTTCTATATGCTTTTACCCCTACCCAGAGTCAAAACATGAGGTGTGGTAGATCTTATCGCGCATCAACCGTTGTACAATTCTTCCTCCATGTTAAACACAGACTTAGACTTTAATAAGGTATTTGTGGCCCCCCTAACCTTTGAAGATTGTTATATTAAACATAATAATATAGCACCTTCTATTATTGATAAAGGTGGACAAGAGGTGGATACAATTCAACATATAAATTCTTTATTGCACATTATAAGAGAGCAGTTCTGTTTACACCATTCTATGAACCGGTTACAACAAAAGCCCCACCTTTTATTTCCCGACTCTGTTCCTATGAGAATGCTGATTAAACCTCAAATTCAACCATTCAAGGTTACAATGAGCCTCGTGGGACTCTCAGAAAGGATTTAATCACATTATTTGCTTTTGTTTCAGTTTTCTTCCAAAGGGAGACAATATGGACATAGACCCCTGCAGCTAGTAGCCACTGGGGCCTTCCTTGTTGGCTCAGCTATTGGAGCTTTGATTGCTGGAGCTATGACTGAAGAACTTCATTTCCAAATCTCTTTCCTCAAACAGGCCTCTGATGCACAAACTCAGTCCATTCCTGCAATTTCTAGTTCTC